GATGGAGGATGACAAGTTTGGTCCAGACAAAAGGAGCTGTCAGGTCACACTCACACACACAGATCAGTGTGTTTGGACACAAGGCTGCGCAGAGGACAACACAAAGAAGAAACGGCAAAACACACACACGACTCAAGGGCACCAGCCTGCAGCCAATCTGATCTGCTCCGGCACTACAAGATTTGAGGGTTTATGGAGGAGTAAAAGTAGTACCAGTGTAGGAGTTGGTGTTGGAGTGGTTGATGTTGGCGTAGGAGTGGTTGGTGTAAGCGTAGGAGTGATTTGGCGTAGGACTAGGAGTAGTTGCCGTTGGCGTAGGAGTGGTTGGTGTAAGCGTAGGAGTGTTTGGCGTAGGACTAGGAGTGGTTGGTGTAAGCGTAGGAGTGTTTGGCGTAGGACTAGGAGTAGTTGCCGTTGACGTGCAAGTGGTTGGTGTAGTACTAGGAGTGGTTGGTGTAAGCGTAGGAGTGTTTGGCGTAGGACTAGGAGTAGTTGCCGTTGGCGTAGGAGTGGTTGGTGTAAGCGTAGGAGTGTTTGGCGTAGGACTAGGAGTGGTTTGGTGTACGCGTAGGAGTGGTTGGCGTAGTACTAGGAGTGGTTGGTGTATGCGTAGGAGTATTTGGCGTAGGACTAGGAGTAGTTGCCGTTGGCGTAGGAGTGGTTGGTGTTGGCACACGAGTGGTTGACGTGCAAGTGGTTGGTGTAGTACTAGGAGTGGTTGGTGTACGCGTAGGAGTGGTTTGCGCTGGCATAGGAGCAGTTGGCGAAGGAGTGGTTGGCGTTGGCATTCAAGTGGTTGGCGTAGGAGTGGATGGCGTATAAGTGTTTGGCGTACAAGTGTTTAGCAATGGCGTACAAGTGGATGGTGTAGGAGTTTTGGCGTACAAGTGTTTGGAGTACAAGTGTTTGGCATTACTTGTGTTTGGCGTACGACTGTTTGCCATACAAGTGGTTGGCGTATGAGTGGTTGACGTACGAGTGGTTGGCATTGGCGTTGGAGTGGTTGGTGTATGAGTTGATGGCGTACGAGTGTTTGGCGTACGAGTGTTTGGCGTACGAGTGTTTGGCGTACAAGTGTTTGGCGTACGAGTGTTTTGGCGTACGAGTGTTTGGCGTGGCGTACGACTGTTTGGCGTACAAGTGTTTGTAGTACAAGTGTTTGGCGTACAAGTGGTTGGTGTAGGAGTGTTTGGCGTACGAGTAGTTGGTATAGGTTGGCGTAGTACAACCAGTTTCAGTAGTACTAGTGTTTGGCCACAAGGTGACACACAAAATCCAATCTGCTTTGTTAATTTATGTAGTATAGGAGAAGTTGGCCTATTTACAAATATATATATGTATATTCTGTAGTAGTACTAGTAGTAGGTTTGACAGTAAGTCAAAGTTGAAATAGTACTAATAGTAGTTGCCTTTGTAGTATTACTAGGAGTAGGTTTATAGTTGTATTTGTAGTAGCTTTTGCAGTAGGCCTAGTAGTTGTAGTTGCAGTAGTAGTAGTACCAGTTGTCACAGCAGTAGTAGTACTTGTATTTAGCCCAAGATGAACTGCAGGACAATTTGAGGAACTATAATACAAATTGGTGGAGTAGTAGTGGAAGTAGTAGTAGTTGCAGTATCACTACAAGTAGGCCTACAGTTGCTTTTGTAGTATTTTTTGTAGTTGCAGCAGTAGAAGTGTTTGGCACAAGGCAACGTTTCCGCTTTGTCATTATTATTTGTCAGAAAATAGTATAACATAGCCCCTTTAAAACAGATGTGTGTGTGTGTATTCTGTTTTTAAAATATCCACAATCGCAGTATTTCAAACTAGCGTCGCTAATGATGCATGAAGCTAATCGCGGCGCTACACCGGCACATTCATCAGGAGCTAGCCGCCGGGCGCTAGCATACGACACACTCATGTAATTGTATTTGATCAATGGCTACACAGGCTAAGATGCTAACGAGATAGAGTGTAACATTAGCTTACATTAGCGTAGCATGGTGGCAGTTAAAGATGGCGTTGTGCTTTGGAAGGAGGGAATTAGTTTTATCGAGCGATGAAGGAACATTAAAGGTGATAATTATGGACTTGTGAAGACTAGAGTCATTATCGAGGAGAAGAAGAAGAGAGGAGAAACTATTATTTACAGGGTATGGGTTTGTTTATGGAAGAGTAAACTTTTTTTATTTTGCAAAGAATGAATCACAATTTGAGATCATTCTAAAGGCGCTAGTACTGATTTTTAGTGTCTTAAAAACTTGAAAAACAGATTTAGTTCCTTTTTAAACAGTTTGCAGTAGTCCAAAGTTATTCCTCGCCTTCCTTTACCTTATGAATTTAGAGCGTCCTAATTATTCAAGCACTTTTCACAGCTTCGAGAAACCAGAGCGGAGTTTTGCCTTCATAATAAAGCTAATAACTAGCATGCTAACAGCGCACTTTTTGATTCAGGCAATCAGGCTGTTTTGAATTAGACGCAGACAGTACACAGTGAACTTGTTTTGACTTCAAGAGCTGCTTATACGATATATCTGTACTCAGGCAAGACAAACTTTGCTCAAATACACCGCGAACTAAATGAGGTACAGGGCCACCATCTTGGTACTGTAGTTGTTGTATAAAAAATAGATTTAAATCCATAAGCAGTGGTGGATGAAGTATTCAATTTGATGCGGGAGTATTCGTCGCGAGAGTATTTGTTGTGGGAGTATTTGTTGCGGGAGTATTTGTTGCGGGAGTATTCGTTGCGGGAGTATGTGTTGTAGGAATATTCATTACGGAAGTATTTGTCGCAGGAGTATTCATCGTGGGAGTATTTGTTGCGAGAGTATTCGCTGTGGGAGTGTTTGCTGCAGGAGTATTTGCTGTGGGAGTATTCGCTGTAGGAGTGTTTGTCACGGGAGTATTCGCTGCGGGAGTATACGTTGTGGGAGTATTCGTTGCGAGAGTATTTGTCGCGGGAGTATTCGTTGTGGGAGTATTTGTTGTAGGAATATTCATTGCGGGAGTATTTGTCGCAGGAGTATTCATCGTGGGAGTATTCGTTGCGAGAGTATTCGCTGCGGGAGTATTTGTTGCGGGAGTATTCGCTGCGGGAGTATACGTTGTAGGAGTATTTGTTGTTGGAGTATTCATCGTGGGAGTATTCGTTGCGAGAGTATTCGCTGCGGGAGTATTTGTTGCGGGAGTATTCGCTGCGGAGTATACGTTGTGGAGTATTTGTTGTTGGAGTATTTGTTGCAGGAGGATTCATTCCGGGAGTATTTGTTGCTGTAGCATTCATCGTGGGAGTATTTGTTGCGGAAGTACTCACTGCGGGAGTATTCGTCACGGGAGTATATATGAGAATTTTTTTGAGATTTTTAGAACAAATAAAGGATGAAATTTTGTGATTTTGATCATGGGTTTGGCAGATTTTAAGTGATTCATTTGATTTGTTAATTTTTCTAGCTGTTCTGTGGTTTCATGTGTTTGGTTTGCTCAAAGTTAGAACTCAAATTAAATCAGCAGGTTTCAAATCAAAGCAAAATCCTTTTACTTTTCACTTTAAATCTAACAAGTAGTGGAGCAGAACGTACAAAAGCTCTCAAATGTTCTGAAGTAAAAGTAAAAAAGTATTCACTCTAAAGCACAGATGCCTAAAGTATTGCACTTTTACTGGTTAATTTAAGCGATTAATTTGATGATTTTTCTAGGTTTTGTGTTAAGTTGGAACATTAACTTAAATTAAATGCACTAAAAATAAGCCTCAGCCTTTTCAGCAGGTCTCAAATGAAAGCAAAATCCTTTTACTTTTCAGTCCAGATCTAACATGCAGTGTAATAGAAAGTACAAATACCTCCTCTCAAATGTAGTAAATGTTCTTTAGTAAAGTATAGATATTTAAAAATGGTACTTTATTGTGTACTTCATTACCTTTCTCCAGTGTCCGTGGGTGATCTAGAGTCTCGAGTTGAAGAGTCAAAGCTCAAAGTTGGAGTGAGAAACAGAAGCACGTGTGAAGGTCACGCTGTGTGGTTGGGAGTTGTATATTGTAGACACAAAGTCAGACTCCTGGGGCCAAAGCTCTGTCAGAAAATCCATATTTTATTAAACAAGTCAATAGTGTTCTTATGACTTCAGAGCGCCCCCAGACTCAGCTCTCCACTCTTTACTCTTTACTTTTGTTTATTTAGTATTCGGCTCCGTGTGACCAACATGGAGCAAAGTGCCACTGGTTCAAATGTGCACTTCTGATTTTTATAAGATATATTTATTTATAATGTTTGATTTGTAAAGTTTGACATTTAAAGTATTGATATTGCCTAATAAATAGAGCATTTTCTTTATTAATTAAGCAACCAATTTAAAAAGTTTTAATTTGTCTTTAAAAATTTTATCTATTACCCAAACATATACATAACATAGCATAACACATTTGTATTTTATTACTTATCTATTAATTTTTTTTAACATAATTTTTTTGTACAATTTATTTATTTATTTTTTTGTACATAATTTTTTGTACGTATTTTATTTTTTGTAAATTTTTTGTACATTTGTATAATTGTCTTAATAATTGTCTTACTTGACACCTGTCTTCTGCTCTTTTTTTGCTACTTATTTAGAATTTATTATTACCATTTATATTTTTTACTTTTTGTTATTATAATATATGTGTCCAAATTGTGGATCAATAAAATTTGTCTAAGTCTAAACATCTTCAAGCCATTGTAAAAAAAAAAAAATAAAATAAAATATCTTGAATTTTATACCAATTAAATTTTTTTATTTAATGTAATATTATACCAAATATTGCCTAAAAATAAATGTATGCCTCTTTTTAAGTTATATCTATTTGACATTTAATCAAAAATAATGACACCAAGGTCTGTCTAATATTTTAATGTAAAAAGCAGTGGTATCAGTATTGGGTTGATATCGCGATATTCATGGTATTGGATCAAAACAAAAACACAGTATTGTATGTATTTCCTATTACGATTATTCATGCATTTTCTCCTTTTTTGTCTTGCAGGACCATCCGTAAACACTTGGGGGAGCAGGAGGTGTCCATCTCTCTGACCATCGAGGCTCTGGACGAGGGAGACTTTGGGAACTACTCGTGTTACGTGGAAAACATCAACGGGCGAAGACAAGCGAACATCCAGCTGGCAAAGAAACGTGAGTGTGACTGTTACTGCTGGATTCTCACAGTAAAGTGACAGGGTTTCAGGTTTTGCTAAATATTATTGGGTTTTTGTGTTCATTTTTGTACAAGTCTGGTGAACTGCTACATAAATTAGTGAGGATATTTCAGTGTGGTGATTAGGGCTTTGGGACAGAACTCTAGCTGCACTTCATATTTGACAATTTGTTCTACTCTATATTGAAAACAGGATGGCGTACGCTGAGGTGATAACGACAGAGCGGCGGAGTCTCGTCTGGTCTGTGGAGAGAGGTGTAATGACAAAACGAGCGCCCTGTTTCCATTTGCCGACAGTAATACATGGATCTAACAAATATACGCTGAGGAACAGGCGCTAAACAATAACACACATAAGCAAGAGCAGCATCGAAAATCAGATACGAATCAAAACTAAACCTAGATCCTCATTTGAGCAGGTATTGGTACTAAAAAAGTCCCATTCACAGGACAGAAATTAAGCTTTCCTGAATGTCTTGAGAATGATTTTGAGCTGTATCAGAACAAGTATAAGCGCACATAGACTAGTGTACGTCCATGGACCACTGTGGAACCTACCTGGACCAGTGAGGAGCCCACGTGGGAATAGAAAAGAAAGTACTATGATTTAATGTTGAAAAAAGTCACATTCTATTGTCCAAAGAGTGTTTTTAATTATCATTGTGATACTGGAATCTGTATTGAGATTTTAGTACCGTATTTTACTATACGACTGCACGCCCCGCAATCCAGAGCGCCCTATACACGAATGCACTCGGGTGTCCCAGCACGACTTCAGTAAACTACAAAGCCACACCACCTGCAGAACACGCAAACACACACGGAGCAGACAGCAACCGCCACACTCATCACTCCACGCCGACGAAGAACGGAACGGAGGAATGAACCGAAAAAGCGAGTGCAATGTGCCACTTCTAGACACGACTGAACAACTGAGTCACTGCGAACACGCCGACAATCCGTTGGTCCCAGACAGCACCTCCCTACACGCCACAACTGAGCAAAGCCCAGAGTCACCGTGAACGCCACAAACAAACAAAACCACTGGCCCATCCAACTGTTGTGTTTCCTTTAAAGTTTGGTGCGGTTTATTTGTGAAAAAAGTTTGGAAATAAACCATTTAATGACAGTGCGCCTTATAATCCAGAGCGCCTAATAGTGCGGAAAATACGGTAGTACGTTTTTTGTGTGAAATGGTCTGTAACTTGTCATATGCACTTTAAACATTAAAACTCAGGGAAGGCATAACATTTTTGCAAGATAAGAACTTGGGAAATTGTTTATTCTTGGTTAAATAATGCGCAGGATTGAATTGTATTGTGATCAAGTGGTTATAGTTGTAGTGCAGTGATACTTTTACTCATTTATTTTGCATTAGTTCAATTACTGATGTCTTTATTGCAAAAAAATACCTCAAAAATGTATACTTATTGTGAATAGGGTTCCGTCTCCACAGACCTGATCATATGTGTTTAATGCTATACTGTGAAACATTCTAGTCAAAGCAAAAGTATCTCCATGGCGACAAGGAGGTGGTGGTAATATTTTGTCCTTCCAATTTTATTAACTTTGAATTTTATATGAGATGTTGTATCGTTAAGTTACTTGAGTTGTAGTTTCCCCACTTCAGTCATTTATACTGCACTACTTTGTACTTCTACTTCACTACTATTTTATTGAAGTAATAGTGCTTTTATGGCTTCTCAACTGACCATTGTAGTAGTTTGTGTAGTGACCGTATTGTGGCACAGATAAATGTTTGCACTGTGCCCTGTAGCCTTGGTCTGTGCGCATATTTCAGGACCTTACAATCTCAAATATTTCATAATGACCTGTTTCATCCTCGAACCTAAAATACTACCATTAAATCCACTGGTCCTTGGCTTTGACGCGAGCAGATGAAGCACAGAGGCAAACCAGTGGCATTGTGGGAATTGTTGTTTTTTACGCCTGGAGGAAAAAGAGTAAAATGGGAGCGTTTTGGTAGATAGTGCAGAAAAGGCTCATTCATCCTTTAGGGCCCGAGGAAGTATTAGAGGAGAGATTCCAGACAAGCTGTTAGACCTCCCAAAAAACACATAAATCTGCTGTGATGGAGAGGATTCACCGGACTGAGTCACAAGACCACACGCAGCTTTACAGGACCAAGATGGAGGCAAGTGGACTATACAGCTTTACAGTACTAAGATGGAGGCAAGTGGACTATAGAGCTTTACAGTACCAAGATGGAGGCAAGTGAACTAATACTTTACGGGACCAAGATGGAGACAAGAGGAATAGCGCTTTACAGTTCCAAGATGGAGACACGTGAATTATAAAGTTTGACAGTACAAAAATGGAGACTTAGTGAACTATAGAGCTTTACAGGACCAAGATGGAGGCAAGTGGACTATAGAGCTTGACAGTACCAAGATGGAGACACGTAAATTATAAAGTTTGACAGTACTAAAATGGAGACTAGTGGACTATAGAGCTTGACAGTACCAAGATGGAGGCAAGTGGGCTAAAGCTTTAAGGCTCATTCATGCTCTGCTTGCGTATGTAAACGGTAAGAGTCATTGCATTTATACTTCCAAATGTTTGTAATGTCATGGCTGTGTTCTGTTAAACAACCACCACAGGGCGCTAAAAGAAAATAGAGCTACAAATAAACAAGCCCTGGAAGCGCTCGCGGCAGGTTTCAAAGCACATCTGTTGGAAAAGACTCAAGAAAAATGAAGTGAGGGAGGTATTTATTTGTTTCGCAGCTGGTCACTTTTTAAAAACTGTAGCCTCCACTGTCAAGCTGTGCTCACTACTGCCCCCCAGCGGTTAACTCATAAATTGCTGAAGATGCCACATGTTCTGAGGACAATATCACAGAAAAAAACAAATTACTGTAATTCGTTGCTTTTTGCTGTAACACAGTAATGTTCGGCATTACAGGGAAAAAACTATTCATATTTTACTCTGTACAAATGTGAGTAACGCATATTACAATGCTTTTTTAACCTGGATTGAAGTGGCAGGTTTTTCTTCATACAAATTCGCTAAAATCACCGCAATATCAACAGTGATGAAATGCCGGAAACTCGCCCGTGTAGACCGTCAGGTGACCGCGAGTGAAAGGCGTAGAACTCCACGCTCCACAGGGCGAAATACAGCTGATGCCCGATCGGCCCTGCACAGGTTCTCTCAGGGGCAGTCCTAGATTCCTGGTTTAGTTTTGGTTTAGACATGGTTTAGTCTTGGTTGAGTCCTGGTTTAGACCTGGTTTATTTCTGGTTCAGTTCTGGTTTAGCCCTAGTTCAGTCCTGGTTCAGATCTGGTTTAGTCCTAGTTTAGTCCTGGTTTAGACTTGGTTCAGACCTGGTTCAGTCCATATTATTGCTATCATAAAGCATTTTTAAGACCTGCTGCTTTTGAGCTGACAAAAGATTTATGATCTAAAAACTGGTAAAAATCACCACAAAATCCAACATTTTTTTAAGTTGTAGGTCCCTGTCAGCTAAACACGAGCAGTTTGTGATTACATTGCCTCTATGAGAAAAATCTTGTCTGAGCCCAGGGGTTGGGATTTTTTCCACTGAAGTTCTGGTGATTGTCACTACGTCAACTGGAGGCAGATACAATCAACAACATCTTCCAGTTATTTTAATAGATCCATGGATATACTCATGGATCTTCTATAATAAGAACTGGATAAGACCTGGCTCCAGATCAACTTGTGGTCACTCCAGGTACTGCATCTCCAGGGAGCTCCGGCCCAGAAAGAACTGTCCCATAGAGCGTAATGCATTTGTTGTGAAATCAAACTGCCCGTGCTCGGCAGACGGGGCATCGACAGCTTTCGTAAGTGTCCGATTTTGTAGGAATTCTTCTGTATTCTTACAATATGAACTTTAAAAATGTTTAAATCGTCAAAAGATCTATCCCTGATCTATTTCAATGTGGTATCAGACGTAGTCCTAGCGCCGTCTGCTGGGTTGTTTGTGCATTTTGTGCCTTCAGTCTTATTTTTTAGTGGTAAACTTTTAAGTCTGAGCCCTTACAGTTGAAGTCGAATACATTTCCATAGTAACTCTCCTCTTCTCCTCTTTTAAACTCGGACTCTTTGATGGGAGCCCAGTTCTTCCATAAGAAATCTTTAAACCTCTGAGATTAGCCCAGTTTAAGCACTATAATACCACCTAAAATATAGTACTTAGTGTTATCCAGCCGTATCTTTGCCGTAGTGAGCAGTGAGCCAGTCCTACTTTACAAAACACAGACAGATCTTTAATGTTTCTGTGGTTGGTTTGAAAGTGGTCAGCGCAGCGGGAGGCGAGTTTCTGCTGTTTTGAAGTGACAGTTTGAATGGAGGAGCTTCAGTCAGAATAAGACTTAAAAATATGTCCTGATTTCCTCTGCTCCACAACTCGTCTGTAAAAAGTTTGAATTTGACGAAGTCTCTGTGACCGGCTCCGTTCGTTTTTGCGATGATCAGCGCTTTGTGGTTAAACACGACACAGTTTCGGGCCTACATTTTGGTCATGTTTTATTCTTTTTCAGATTATTTTAAGTTGCACTGTGTAACATTTTTGGTGGAGAATATTACTCAGTTTTTGTTTCCGTGGAGATGTTATTGCTGTGCCTAGAATCTTCCACAGTTTAGCATTAATCTTGTGTATCTCCATGGAGACGAGTATCTGAGGAGATTTGAGGAGAGGCGACCACACACACTTTTAAACGTCATTTTGAAATTGTAATAAAGCAAATTATCACTATTTTCTACTTATTTATTTACCTTTTTTACAGTTTTTTTACTTTTCAGAACATTAAAGTGCTTTACGGAATAAGCCAAACTGATTAGAAAATGACAAATAGGCAGATCATATTGCTTAGTTCAAGTTTACAGTGGTAGCCTGATTCATTGGCCGGTTTCACTTTGTGGAAACCGTCTGACCTTGCAGTATTAGGATTTGTTCACGATAGGCTGGTACTTTTTTATTTATTAGCCTGGCTGGTTACCTGGACAAGACTTTCTTCACATGACGTTCCTTCATAATCTAAAGACCTAATATTTGAAAGTGCTTAATAACAGATATTTATGTCGTCTGCACTGAAACGGTGCAAAGGACTATGGTCTATGTAGTTCTGTACTTAAGTTTTGGTGCTGTTATACCTAAAATTTTCAATATATTGTGAGACTTTTGGCAATAAGGCATCACTTTATTTCTGTGACTGTTATTACATCCTTAGTATGGAGTAGTGTTTGTCACAGCTAGGCCTGAGTATCATTAAGAATTTGCCGATACGATACATACCTCGATACACAGGCCACGATACATACCTCGATACAAAGGTCACGGTATGATACATACCCCGATACACAGGTCATGATACATACCTCGATACATAGGCCATGATACATACCTCGATACATAGGCCATGATACATACCTCGATACATAGGCCATGATACGATACATATCTCGATACAGTGCACTTCAGTTCGATATGATACATTTCAAATCAATTCGATACGGTTCAATAAAAAATAAGGGCTAAATCATGTCTGTGATACTAAAAGTCTTTGTTAAACCACTTCTTGGGCAAAGTTCATTTGAAACAAACATTTTAATCATCAAAAAAAATGTCAAATGTGTCGCATAAACGAGTTTCCTTCCTCTAAACAAGCAACAAAACTGTAGCTATAACAAAATAATTTAGTAAAACATACCAAAAAATACTCTTGGCGATTTATCAATACAGCAGCCCTTGATATCGATACTGTATCATCACATTAAACGATACGATATGTCGATATTTCAGTATTTTTGCACACCCCTATTCCACAGTACGACATTAAATATATTTGTGTTGATGTGTTTTTATTTTTCAAAACTACCACAAAATTTCTATGAGCAGGTCCACTTCTCCACAGATCTGACCTGTAATTTCACCTGGTGATGTTTCCATGGAGATGGTGGATTTAAATGCCATACTATAGATCATTTCAGAAAACAAACAACAAAAAAAACATGAAATCAAACTGGTGGACCCTCTACCAGAAAAGTTACACAGTGCACCTTTAACCTCCAACACTACAGACCTTGAAAACTACTGCAAATAAAATAAAAACATTTCATATTTTCAGACAAAACATCTTTTCTAATATGTTTCAGAGCTGACATTGTTTCACGGTGTGCGCGTTTTGCCTTGAGCCCTTCACTCGCGTCCACTCCGTCTCCTTTGTTTTTGCTTCAGCGCGTCCAGCTAGCCTTCATTGACTGACTAATAGCACGTACGCTAAAACGCCTGGACTTTGCTATAGCCCTTTCACATCTTTATCTATCAAACCTTAACATTTAGCCTTCTGCTTGACACCTCCCATTAGAAAAGATGATGGTTCACGACGACGGGCTTCCGGGGCAGTTCCCGACCTCCGAGCTAAAACCGGGACAGACTCGGTGATAAACACAGTCCTCCCGTCGCCGGAGTCAGAGCGGATTTTTGTGGACAGGTGCAGAGCCTGGCTAACAAGCTAACCCCGCGCAACGCTAATAGTCGCCCTGATCCTTTTGGCCTCCTGCCCACACGCTTCCCCTGTTAAAAGATTTGGGCCAGAGTAACAAGCGGGTAACAAGCAAACAACAAACAACCGACAAGGAGGAAGAAGAAGAAAAGGTAGAGCTGTACTGGAGGAAATAAGATTAAACGAGCTAACGAGGGCTAAACGCTCAAGCACAGGGTTTTAATTTGACCTTTAAGTGTTTGTTTTATAACGTTAGTGCTTTTTTTGGACACTCAAACACACTAGTATCACATTATTCAATCTCCACCGTCCACTAGGGCAGGGTATCATTAAGGCAATACACCGATACAATGCATATATCGATATAGCGCACTTTCGATTCAATACGATATATTTCAAATACCTTCGATACGGTTGAATAAAAGTAAAAGTCTTTGTTAAACCACGTCTTGTGCAAAGTGAAAAGGGCTACTCAATTATGGAAAAAATCATTAGCGTGATTATTTTGGTCAATATTGACATTTTTCAAACTTATTTTTTAGTAACACGATGCATTTATTCAGCATTTCTCTCTAAAACAACATTTTGTTACTGATAATTTAGGCAAAACTTTCAAATTAAAAATAAACATAGGCTATAAATAGGGCTGGGTATGATTCAGAATTTGCTGATACGATACATACCTCAGTACAGTGAGCTTACGATTCAATACGATTTAATACAAAATATTTCAAATCAATTCGATACGGTTCAATAAAAAATAAAAGCTAATTCATGGCTGTGATACTAAAAGTCTTTGTTAAACCACTTATTGTGCAAAGTTCATATAAAACACAAAGATTTTAATCATCAAAATAGTGAAAATATCAAATGTGTCGCATAAACGAGTTTTCTTCCTCTAAACCAGGTGTGTCCAAACTATGGCCCGTGGGCCAAATGCGGACCTCAGACTAATTTTTTTTGGCCCTCAGGCTTCTCAATGCATTGGCCCAAATTGTCTTGCATCAATTAAAAATTAACTTTTTACTGCAAGTTTTTTGAAAATCGACCTTGATGAAGCTAATATTTAATATTTAGTTTGTGGTTTTAAGGATCTTAGACTGATACTAACGACTGATGGTTCATTCTGTCATGTTAAACATGCACATATTTCAATTATTCACTGTACTGAGCACCAACCTACGACCCTCGATCAGCCCTCTGCTTCTTCTGTGTTTACATATGTGGTCCTTGATGAAAAAAGTTTGGACACACCTGCTCTAAACAAACAACAAAACTGTAGCACTGTAATAAAATAATTTAGTAAAATACACCAAAAATATTCTTGGTGATATATCGATACAGATTTTGATATCACTCCATCTCTACTCCTCACTAAATCTATTTTCTCTCTTCTTCTTCTTGTGTCTTCAGCGGAGTTGATGTACACCGTGGAGCTGGCTGGAGGACTGGGGGCCATCCTGCTCCTGTTGATCTTCTTGGTGACGCTGTACAAATGTTACAGAATCGAGATCATGCTTTTCTACAGGACGCACTTCGGCAGCGAGGACCTGGACGGAGGTGAGACGCAACTCGAATCTAGATTTAATATTTTTATCCCCGTTTCTCAATGGGCTGCGCAATTTAGTGAAAAAAAAAAAATCGAATTGTAGTATTTTTATGTGTATTTCAGCAACATTTCCGTGACTTAAACTGTGATGCCGGACTGAACCAGGACTGAACCAGGACTAAACCAGGACTGAACCAGGACTAAACCAGGACTAAACCAGGACTAAACCAGGACTAAACCAGGAACGAACCAGGACTAAACCAGGACTAAACCAGGAACGACCAGGACTAAACCAGGACTGAACCAGGACTGAACCAGGACTAAACAGACTAACCAGGACTGAACAGGACTAAACCAGGACTAAACCAGGACTAAACAGGACTGAACCAGGACTAAACCAGGACTGAACCAGGACTGAACCAGGACTAAACCAGGACTAAACCAGGACTAAACCAGGAACGAACCAGGGCTAAACCAGATCTGAACTATCACTGAATCAGTACTGAACCAGGACTAAATCAGGACTGAGACTAGGAGTGAGACCGGAACCGAGATCAGGACTGAGGCTGTGATTGAGTCCAGGATCATACCGAGACCAGACCCAGGTCCGAGACTAGGACTGAGACCGGGACAAGCCAGGAACAGACTGTCCTGTTTTAGTCCTGGTTCAGTCCTGTTTTAGTCTTGTTTTTGTCCTGGTTCAGTCCTGTTTCCTGTTTTAGTCCTGGTTCAGTCCTGTTTCAGTCCTGTTTTAGTCCTGGTTCAGTCCTGTTTTAGTCCTGGTTCAGTCCTGTTTTAGTCCTGTTTTAGTCCTGTTTTAGTCCTGGTTCAGTCCTGGTTCAGTCCTGTTTTAGTCCTGGTTCAGTCCTGTTTTAGTCCTGGTTCAGTCCTGGTTCAGTCCTGGTTCAGTCCTGGTTCAGTCCTGTTTTAATCCTGGTTTTAGTCCTGTTTCAGTCCTGTTCAGTTAGTCCTGGTTCAGTCCTGGTTCAGTCCTGGTTTAGTCCTTTTAGTCCTGTTTTAGTCCTGGTTCAGTCCTGGTTTCAGTCCTGGTTTTTAGTCCTGGTTCAGTCCTGGTTCAGTCCTGGTTTTTGTCCTGGTTCAGTCCTGTTTCAGTCCTGTTTTAGTCCTGGTTCAGTCCTGGTTTAGTCCTGGTTTCAGTCTCGTTCAGTCTTTTCGGTTTTTAGTCCTGTTTTAGTCCTGTTTTCGTTTCCTGTTTTAGTCCTGGTTTAGTCCGACATCGCAGTTTAAGTCACGGAAAAGCAAACGAACGAATGATACACGGATTGTGTTCAATAGGAATTTAAAAAAATTATATATATATTTTCCAACTCCTTATTCTAGAAATTAGCAGTTTAATTACGATTTAATTACAATTTAGCGTTTATAGAAATATTTGCACATGTGTTAAAAGCTGTACAAGAATATGAAATTATAATTATAAATACACAACAATATTCAGTTAAATTAAGTTATTTTACTTTTTTAACATACATAATTTGAGCGTTCTTTTAAATTAATTTAAGTTGGCACAGAGTTTTATACTTTCCTCTGATTATATTTGCGATTTTTAATTTTTTGAGCGTGGCGGATTTCTGGTAAAGACTTGGAAGAAACGAAAGCACTCTGGCATTTTTTATTTGAAGTTTACGAAGAAATAAGTGACAGATTTGGGTAAAGTATTGACTTTAAAGGCTCATTTTTTATCATATTTATAGACTTGCGGTTTTCTTGGCGAGACTCTGGTGAAAAATGAGGCGGGTCTGTGTTCTTGGACAAGAGAAGTATTGTGATTGTGATTAGATTTGTGATTTATGTACAAAAAGGAGAATTCGCGTCCAGTTGCATTAAAATTTGAGAGAAGACTGAAAACCAAGAACCCCATGTATTTCAGAAAAGGTTTGTGGAAGTCTAAACTACAGGGTTAGCAGCTTTTTCCCATAAAAATAAAAATCAATAATGGACACACTTGTTGAGTTTTTGAAATATTATAGGATTTGAATCTGTGTGTCATTCGTTCATTTGTTTTTCAATATAAAACCAAAAATAAGAAAACGAAAAAACAACTATTTTCTTCATTATTTGTCTCCAAAACCAAAATGAAAAAATGGATAATGATTTGTTTTTTTTCAGTTTGCAATTTGGTGTTTAAATGAAAAATGGAAAAAAAAAAAAAAAAGGAGAACAACAGTTTCCCGTTTCTGTGACTTAAACCAGGACTGAACCAGGACTGAACCAAGACTGAACCAGGACTAAACCAGGACTGAACCAGGACTGAACTGGGACTGAGTGTCGGGACGGACCTGGAGGTGGGCTCACGTAGACTGTCGGGTGATCAAGACTGAGACTGGGACCAGACCGGGACTGGGAGTGGGACCAGACTGGGACTGAGACCAGGACCGAGACTGGGACTGAGACCAGGATTGAGACCAGGACCAGACCAGAACCAGACCAGAACTGAGACCGGGACTGAGATCAGGACCAGACCGGGACCAGACCAGGATTGAGACCAGAACTGAGACCAGGACCAGACCGGGACTGAGACTGGGACCGAGACCAGGACCAGACTGACCAAGACTGGGACCAGACAGGGACTGAGACCGGGACCAAACCAGGACTGAGACCGGGACCAGACCAAGACTGAGATCAGGAGTAGACCAGGACTGAGACCAGGACCACACCAGGACTGAGAACAGGACCAGATCAGGATTGAGACCAGGACTGAGACCGGGACCAGACCAGGACCAGACCGGGACTGAGACCGGACTGAGACCAGGGACTGAGACCGGACCAGACCAGGATTGAGACCAGAACTGAGACCGGACTGAGATCAGGACCAGACCGGGACCAGACCAGGATGAGACCAGAACTGAGACCAGGACCAGACCGGGACTGAGACTGGGACCGAGACCAGGACCAGACCGGGACCAAGACTGGGACCAGACGGGACTGAGACCAGGACCAAACCAGGACTGAGACCAGGACCAGACCAGGACTGAGACCGGGACTGAGACCGAGACTGAAACCAGGACCAGACTGGGACCAAACCAGGACTGAGATCGGGACCAGACCGGGATTGAATCCAGGATTGAGAACAGGACCAGACCAGGTCTATGACCGGGACCTGGTTAAGTTCTGGTTCAGTTCTGGTTTAGACCTGGTTAAAACCTGGTTTAGTCCTGGTTCAGTCCGGCATCACAGTTTAAGTCACGGAAACAGGAAACGGCCGTTATCCGTTTTTACATTATTCATTAATTCATTTGTTATCCCTTTTTTCATTTTGGTTTTGGAGACAAATAATAAAGAAAATAGTTATTTTTTCATTTTCTTACTTTTTGGTTTTATTTTGAAATACGAATGAACGAACGATACAAGGATTAATTTGCATGTGTTTTTCCATTTACTTTTTATTTTAATTTCAAGTTTGTTTATTTTTTTAAAGCAAATGTAAATGTTACTGTGAGGAGCAATTTATTTTTACTATTTTTATCTTGGGTTTATTACTTGAATCACTAATATTTAAAAGGAAGACAAAACTATAGATTCCGAAACTCTTATGTACCTCCATTATGCAAATAAAAACCCTAAAATAGTATAAAGTATTTGATAATCCAACTGTCTTTTTATGCTAATGTGAGGTTTACTGTTCAGACATTATGCTAAAAAGCAGCATCCAAAAGCAGCACAAACACTTTCCGACAAATCTTTGATGCCGTTTCCTTTGGACTTCGCACGCTTGTGTTTAAAGTGAACTCATCCAGACACAGCAGGAAGCAGAGATGCAAGGACTTCTGGGTAATGAAGTCCACATCTTCAAACAGTTGAGGCTTGCTGTTTACTGGTTCTTGAAGGGAAAGCACGTTCTGTATTTTTTATTTGAGAAGAGAGGATAAATCAAAAATAGATGATGTTAATGTTTTCGGGAATGGCAGTATTGCATGAACTAAAGCTTGAGTTTAACACTTAATGATGTCACAAGGTGGAACAGAGCATTTTGGACATATAGACAGACGTGTAAATGAAACAAAACACAACTCCAGGTTTGTTTTTGAGCTAATATTCTAACATGACGCAATTTTGTGTAATAGAAGAAACTGAAATCTGGTGTTACTTGGGGAGTTAAATACCGTATTTTCCAAACTATTGAGCGCACCTGAATTTAAGATGCATCAACAAAATTTTAAAAATTGTACAAATATGCTCCAGGGACCTAAAGAAAAAACATGTATTGCAATATATATTTTTTGTGATTTTCTCTCTATTTGGAGGTAAATGAACACCTTAGCATTTAGATTTTGTTCATTTTATTTGTATTTTTAATTTTATAACATGTCCTCTGTAATGGACGCCGGGGACGTTTTGGTGTTAAATCCATGTGAAGTTAACAACCAAACAAAACCAACTTTTTTTTCTACAGTCACCTCAAAAAGTTTTTAGACTCCCTTTTAATTTATTTTTTTATTTGTTTATTTGTTTTTGTTTTTATATATCATAGTACAGCCACAAAATACCAATTTTTTTTTTTTTTTTTTACAAATCAAACTCCTAAACAGATCCATGAACGGTCGGACTGATCACACGCTCCTGAAAATGTGCTGTTTTTAATCCATTTTGTATTTTTTTCTTTTGAGTTTTCAGACTGGTTGCTATTGTGTTTCCATGGTAACTGCTGAACATTCTGCCCATACACTAGTAGATACATGTAGCAGTTTATAGTCCGGAATTTACGGTATTTAACAATGTGGTACTTGGTTTGAAAAGTTTGTGAAGGAATGTTACTTAAAGAATTTCTAAACAGTGTTATAAAATTGTATTTGAAATTTAGACCACTCTCTTTCGTTTAAATTTTAATTATACGAATATTACGTATATTACTGTACTTCACTATAATTACTTATAGGGGGGATGGCCATTCTAAAAGGAAAGTGCCGTCAAAAGTATTGATACCCATTTGCTAATCAATGTAAAAGAGCTCATATTACGCTATATTTTCTGATCTAGACTTAGACTTGGA